ACTCCTCCCAATCTCATGAATATCAATGAAAAATTCAAATAATTTTTTTTCTATGTCCAGAATATGTCACTAAACAAAGACCTAGACCATTAGACAATGGGGTTGATGCTTTGTGCTTTGTTATATATATCAATTTAGAATTGAAAAATTCAAATGTGTGTGATTATCTTTCAAAGTTTGAAGTCATTTTTATTTGGAACTTATTTTGTGGTAATGTTTCCTTCTTTTTTTTTTGCACTTTTTGTCTGGGGCTGGGTTTGAACCCACCACTTCCGGCATCTGGGGCCAGTGCCCTACCCTTTGAGCCACAGGCGCTGCCCAATGTTTCCTTCTTTTAAGAGTTTCTATTATCGAGTGTCCGTATCAGGTAGAGATTACTTAAAATGGCATTAAAATGTGGTATTAGTTCATAACAATAATAAATCATCTGATTCTATTTCAACATTTTCTCTCTGTAAGCACCGGCCATGCTCAGGAGAATCCACCCACATTACAGTATCTGTAGCCATCATTCCTGCCCTAAGGTTCAAGGGCACAGTTACCCAGGCTCTCAATGAACTAGGCTCGCTGGGCTCTGCCTCACAATCAACCACAGGTGATACTGCCATTAAACTGTGTGAGACAAAAAGTAGTGATTCGTTGTTTTTTTTTTTTTATGGCTGAGTAAAAACAAATACCACATGTACTCACTATTAAATTGGCACTAACTGATGAGCACACAAGCGCACAGAGACAGAGGGAAGCAAACCTCAGCGGAAAGCAGCTGGGGGAAACAGGGCAAGGAGCCAACCTAACAGGCACCGTGAACACTGTCTGGGTGACAAGCACAACACAGCCAGGACTCAAGCGTTACAAAAATGATGTGACATACATCTTTCCAGTTTCTCAGTAAATCCAGTTACGGCACTGGTACTTTATGGCAGAAGCAGAAAGCTCTCTTTCAAACTAACTCTCTGTTCACAATTTTTTTTCCTTTTCAGTCTTTTTCTTCTCTGTGTTCAGTCTGATTAGTTTATATTGCTATGTGTTCAGGTTCACGGATCTTTTCTTCTGCAGTTTCTGATCTGCTGTGAAGCCCATCCAGGGAATTTTTAAAGTTACATCTAGTTCTTTTTTTTATATATTTCATTTTCTCTTCATTATGTTGACACTGTTCTTTAAATCTTGAAGTTTATTTGTAATAACTCTAAAATTCCTGGTAACTTTAAAATTCCAGATAAAATGCCATTTTTATCTGTGTCATTTTTATTTCTTTTTTTCATCAGCTGACTTTTCTTTGATTGTCACATTTTCCTGCTTTTTTTTTTTTGCATGTCTAGTAATTTTTTTACATGCTGGACATTGTGATACTATATTATTCAATGTCTCCATTTTACTGTTTTCCTTTAAAGAGTCTTTCTTTGCTACCACTCAGGTTCCATGCATATCTGCTGATCCTTTTGGGGATTGCTAAATTAAGTTTTGTTAAAGCAGGTCTAGAGGAGCTATTTTAGCCCTACTAAGAAGGCAGGACTCTTACGAGATTTCTCCCCTGAGGCTGGTTAGAACTCAAAGGTCCCCTGGTCCTGTGTAAACTCCCAGAGAGTTTTTTTTTTTTTTTCTTCTGAAACGGGTCTGGTTTGGTACCCCATGCTGGAGTGCAGTGGTGCAATAATAGCTCGCTGCAGCCTTACCTTCTGGGCTCAAGGGATGCTCCCACCTAAGCCTCCCAAGTAGCTAAGACTATAGCACACACACCATGCCTGGCTAATTTCTCTCTCGTTTTTTTTTTTTTTTTTTTGGTAAAGATAAGGTCTCATTATGTTGTCCTGGCTGGTCTTAAACTCCCAGCCTCAAGAGATCCTCCTGCCTCTAGTTCCCAAAATGCTGGGATTACAGACGTGAGCCACTGTACCCAGACCCAGAGAGCTCTTTATTTGGCTTTGTGGATTGTGGTCCTACACATTCTTAGCTTAGTCCTTAGCAGGAGACTCAATGGTGTGACCTTACTGGTTATTTGAGCTTTTTTTCTTCATAGCTCTCTCCTCCCTGGCATTCTGTACTTCATTCAAGATAGCTCAGGCTTCTTGAACTCAGATATCTGTCCCCCAACTCAGGATTCACTTCCCGTGCCATGGTCCGGAAAGTGTCTCTGTGGAAAGTTGAGGAAATCATCCGTTTCCTTTATCTCGTCTCCTTTTCTCTTTTCTCAGCGACCATAGTTCTGTTTTACCTACAGTCCAACAGGTGACAACAGAAGTTTCTCTCCCTCCCTTCATTTTGTTACTCACATTGTGTCAGATTTGTCATCCTTTAAGCGTCTGTGTCCTTCTGTCCCTACCATTTTTTTTTTAAACATTTATATCCTTCCTGGTACAATTGGATCCAAGCTCATCTTGTACTTTCTTTGCCCCAACCCTAGATCAGTATTTTCTCCAAAGAGACCAGGAATCTTTTAGTAAAGAATGACATTTAGAGACCAGATGTAACTGAAGTACTCCACATGCCACCTGCTACTGTGGTGTCACCGTTTCTAGGTTCCTAGAGGGGCTTTTGGACACTTCAGTCTGTGGATAGGTTGAGAGGTCCTGTTAAGATCTGAAAAGGCTGAAGCTGCTTGGGCCCTATGAACTGAAACTAAATAAATTATAGCTCCTTTCTAGGACAGAACCTCACACTGAGGAGACTGCAAAACTGGGCCAACAAAAGTAAATTTAAAAAAAAAATTCTAGTGAAAAGTGGCAGAGGGCAGCAAAGAAGGCAGATCTTAGAAAGTACAAGTACAGACTTTTATTACCTTGTTTTAAAGGGAAGAGAAAGCTCTAGAGCTATGAAACTAAAAATGTTATATTGAGACACCCCCAGGCAGTCACATAGCAAGTTACTTACAAAGAAATGAAAATAAGATTGTTATCCAACTTTTAAAGAGTAATGTTTTGTGCCAGAAAACAATTGGATAATTGATTTATATATTTAATATAGTCAAGGAAAATCTGAGCGAAAAATTTCATATTCATCTAAACAAAATATTCAAGTATAAAGGTCATAAACTGCTAAGATGATCCTGTGAGTCTTTCCTGGGAAATTTAGTAGAGAAAAAACTTTAGACAATCACAGATATTGAAAAATAACAACATAAGAATGGGAGGTTGGATTAAATATGTATTTATCCACAGAATAAATGATGATTTAGAGAGGGGAGAGCACAGTAACATAATGGCTGGCTGCTTTGCCAATGCAGATATAGCTCAATTATTTAAAAAACAAAACACCAAAACCAAAAAATCAGGGTAAGAACAAGGAAAGAATACACAACGTAACATAAGCTTCCTGATTACCTTGCATTTGAGGGGAGTAAAGGGATACTACTTCAAGTCAGATGATGGAAAGGAGGGAGGGAAGGAGGAAAAAAGAGACGACTAGACAGTTTTTTTTAGATGATTTTAATATTATTCACAGAGGGACAAAAGCAAAAAAGGGGAGAAGGAAGAACAAAGAGTATATAAAAGGTATTAAGGTAACCATTAGAATAAGATACAAACCCTCCTAAAAATAGAGATCAAATAAAATAGACCACATAGTGAAAAGCTCCTTATATAAAAGACATAGAGGGTAAACCAGAAAAACATGACAGGACTGAAGCTAAAGGTGCCGATCATAAAGACAAACCTTCACTCTTGAGTAAAGTCCAGAACTATGTGTCAAATAAAGAGATTCAGGAATTTTAAAAACAAAAAGATGGACAAAGATGTATCAGGTAAATGCCAATTAAAAATAAGGCAGGAGTTGCGATCCTGAAATCTGACAATGTAGAGTAATGGGAGGAAATCATAGCTAAGTAGTCAGATTTAAAAATGAAAAATATTTTGTATGATGCTAAGGAGTTTCAAGTGTATCCTATAGTCAGGGAGAGGAACGCTTTAAAGATGGAGAGGCAGGGGATGCGATCAGAACAGGGAGGGGCAGATGCTGCGGACCACGGACTGTAGGTCAAGGGGTTTACACGCACGTTCTCACGTTATTCTGCAGATGTGCAGGTTCTGAGGCTCAGGAACATTAAGTAACTCGGCCAAGTAAAGCAGCTAGTAAGATCAAGATTCTGAGTTCAGTTTTGCCTAGCTCTTTGCAACTGTACAATGCTATTTGTCATTTAGAAAAGAAAGGACAAAAATATAGTCCAAGCAAGAAAGAGTGAGGGTTTCTTTCTTTCAGAGGGACAGATATTTTAAAACATAATTAGGAAGGCCGGGTGACAGACTAGACATGGCATACAATTAAACGGGAAAAAGAAATCTAGAATTCAAAAACCATTATGAGAGCCAGTAGCCAAAGTAGTTAGAAATACATGTATATTGAAAAGGAAACAAAGCAGAATGTCTTTACACGCCCTTTATTTTTTATTGCCTTTTATTCTCCCTCAGGAAATAGACCTGTACTAACTAAAGCCCAAACTTAAGCATGTATGATTCTTGTTATGTGTTTTTAAACAAAATACCATTACTATGATAAGTAGGTCTTCTGAAAACTACTGAGATTGGACTACATCCACCAACATCTAGAAAAAAGTTCAAAATGGATTATAACAAAGAAGGCAGAGCAGGCTTCTTCTTCTGCTTCCTTTTTTATTTGTTGGGGAAGGAGATTTTAAGACCAGTAATAATCTAATGAAATACTAGTTCTTGGTCTCCGAAGGCACTGTGAGCTAAAAAGTCTATTTATTGCTTAGGCTTTAGTAATTGACTTGTAGGAATAAAATCTAGTTAACCATAAGAAAAACATATATTCTAAAGTTTCAGTCATTTTCTTAAAAGTCACAATATAGAATCTTCGAGTTTTTCTACTCTTAAAAACAAAATCTCTGAGGTCCTTTGAAAATCCTTCGTACCCAAGTTTTGTTTTCTTCTTGTCCCCAACTTAGTCTTCAGAATTTCGTGTGATACTCTAATGAGCTACTTCTAGATGTTTACGTAGCTAAGTAAGGACATTTCTGCCTCGTGCCTTGTATTCCACCACATACTTACACGGGATGGTTCTCAGGTACAGATTATCTCTGATCACTTGCTGCAGTTTGTGGTCAATTGATCCTTTCTGAAACTGAAGACTCAGGTAATGCCGCAGATCTTTATTAATGACTTTACCTACAAAGAAAACCACAGAGAACAAAACATAATTGTTAGATGCCCAGTTAAACATAGAAACTAGTGACTGAGTATCTTTAAGGCATTTAACTATAAACAGAAAAACAATCAGACTATTTTACTAAAAAGAAGATAAGTAACATCAAATTATTAGTAATATTATGATTAAAATATAAACCTGCAATATGGGTATCATTTTACACGGCAGGAGAGGGAGAAGATAAAGATCCGAGGAAGTGACAGATATTCCAGGTAATTTCATTTAGCCCCATAGCTTTCAATATCACCTATGCAATGATATCTTTGAGATTAAAATCAACTCTCCATCTCTCACCTATCTCCACCAACCTCTAAGCTCATCAAACTCATATTTCAGATAGAGCACTTAATTCCACCCTTTCCCAATGTTTTCCGTGTCTTTAGAAAGCACCATCATCCCCTAGAACAATTCCCAAACCTAGAAGTCATCACTGATTTCTCCTTTTCACTTCTATACCCTAGACCCACCCATCTACCTTTAAAACCCTCCATTTCCACTGCCACCGGAATTCTGTAATACCCTTCTAATCAGCACCCGTTCTTGCATCCTTCCTGTTCCCACCACTCACAGCAGCCTGGATAAGACTTAAAATATCAATCTAATGATCACTACTCTGTTTAGAGCCCCCAGTGACTTCCTCATGCAATTGGAACAAAATCTAAACTCCCGTACAAGGCCCAGAAGGCCCTCCATGCTCTGGCCATCTCTGATCCCCACTTGCTCACTCCTCCCCCCTCATCCCATGCTCCCCCTCTGCCTGGCATCCTCCTCATCTTGGAAAATGCCAAACTGGACCCTGCCTCAGCGTCTTCTGCCTTTCACTAAACCAACCAGGCATTTTCTGTCTACTTGTTTTACTCCTAGACAAATGGAAATAAATAAGAGAATGAGCTTTTCTATTATTTGTGAAGAAAACGGGAGATAAACAGGACTAGTAGGGCTCTCAAAGAAACAGCAGAAAACAGGGGCTTACAGAAATGTGACAGCAGGCAATCTGTGGTAAGGGTTGAACTTACAATGAAAATCAAAGCAGTCCAAGCATTGTTCATTAAACGAGACTTCAGACAATTGGAACAGGCCAATGCGAGGACAGAGTATATTATTGAATAAGAAATGATTAGTTAATCATGACTAGTTAATTAAAGTACACTCTTCGTGGTATTTGGAGCAACGTGCTTACCACAAGCTTAGATAAAGTAAATACTACAAACCAGTTCATTCTATTATTCTACAATATTGTATTTATTTTCCCCTCTTTTGCTCTTTTCTTACATGTGCCGGTAACCACAACCTATGTGAGAAGATGTTAATATAAGCAGAAAATCCAAGAGTTTCTAAAGTTTAGAGATTACATTCAGACTATAAACTAGTAAACACAAACCCCCAAATCCTTCTTAGCCAAGTGCAGTGGCCTCTGCCTATAATCTTAGCATGCTGGAAGGCTGAGGTGGGAGGATCTCTTGGGCTCAGGAGTTTAAGACTGACCTGAGCAAAAGCCTCTAATGTAAATAGAAAAAAATAGCTAGGCATGGCTCATGCCTGCAATCTCAGCTACTCTGGAGGCTGAGGAAGGAGATCGCTTAAACCTAGGAGTCTGAGATTGCTGTGAGCTAAGCGGACACCATGGCACTCTAGCCTGGAGTCATCATCAACTTCCCTGTCTCAAGAAACCAAAAGAACTTTTCTAGAGGTGAAAGAATATTATGGTCTCTCTTTGATATGATTGAAGGGAATTTGAATTTTAAAAAATACTATAAATATCCTGAATAGGAACTGACTGTGGGATTACTGGAAGGTCAAAAAGATAGCGTTAAATATATACATTAACTTTTAACTCAAAAAGACACTGTTAAATATATACATTATCAAGTTGTATATGACCCCTGCCTTTTGTTTAGGGATAGTACATAGAGACTTGACATTTCAAGATTTGAGGGTTATTGAACTTGCTACCAAACCAAGAATAAAAGATTTATTACCAAGAATAAAAGATTCTTCAAAATGTTGGCATTCTTATCTAGCTAGCCTTTGCACTAAGAACTAAGATTATTCCTTAGCTTCTAAGTGATTTGTTTATAAGTCAACATGATTTATGAAACTTAAAAACCATTTATATATCTTACAAATATAGCTTGAGCGGGGAAAAGTCTACAACCTCAATAATATAAATAAATATAGGCACTCAAGTTTCAACATATAAATCCTGAGTCAAAAGTACTCATAACCACAAATCCATATTTTCTGAATATATGCAAATTAATATTCACCACCAATTCTCTTTGGGGAATCAGTGTACAGAATAACCGGCTATTATTTTATAACCCCTGTGCCATGATGATATGGGAATGGCCGTGTAAGTGGCTGTAAACCAATCTAATTACCAACAGTTCATTATCTTTTCCAAGAGGATAGTCCAGGAAACTTTGTCATCTACTTGGCTAAAATCAAGACACAACATGCCTTTGCTATTTATCTAGTAGTAACTATAAAACTAGGGGACAAAATTAGATCAGTTTGGCAAGTCTTGTTCTTAGAAAGTCACATTGATTCATGATGATTGTCCCATTTTCCTCTCCATGCTCACAATATTTTATATTTTACAATCACTTCAAATTTTGCCACAGTTTAAGTTAGGAAACTGGACTTAAAGTTTCACAATGTACTTTAATCTTTTTTGGAAATTGGGACATAGGTCTCTCTCTGATCCCCTGGTACTTCCCATATTCTTAGTGGTTTTGTAAAAATACGGACAATAACTCTGAGATTATAGCCAAGCCCCTTCAACTCATGGTTGTTAATTCATTCGAGTCTTTTAAACGTAAAATTCATTTAAAGTGAATGATACTTTTACTATTTTCTCTGTTTTGGCTTAATTTCTCCCGTTTCAGATTGTTCTACCTTTTACTGTTGGAAAAGTAATTCTTCTATTTAAAATTATAGAAGCAAAGTAAGATTAGTATAGGTCTGATCTCTGCCTGTAAAGAGCTAACATTACAAATTTCTTTTTCAGACAGTGAGTCTACTTCCTCCCTTTTATTACCCTTGCTCCAAATACCACCTGCCCCTCTCACTACTTACAAAAATTAACTCATGATAGGTAAAAGATTTAAATACAAGACATGAAATTATAAATACTCTAAAGTATCAGAAAAACTCTGAATCTTAACACCTAGGAAAAGAATTCATGAAGAAGACACTACGGGCAATCTCAGAAACAATAAAAATAAAATAAATGGGACCTGATCAAGTTTAAAAATTTCTGCACAGCTAAGGACACAACAGAGCAAAGAAATAACCTTCAGAAAGGGAGAAGAAATTTGCATGTTACAAATCTGACAAAGGGCTAATATCCAGAATCCACAAAGAACTCAAGCAAATCAACAACAAAAGATCGAACAACCTCATTAAAAACTGGGCAAGGGACATGAACAGAATCTTTTCTCAAAAGGACAGATGAATGGCCAACACATGGAATAATGCTCATCATCCCTAATCATGGAGATATGTCAAGTCAAAACTACTCTGAGGTATTATCTCAGCTCCACGAGAACAGCCCCCATCACAAAGTTCCCACACAGCAGTTCTGGCGAGGGTACTGCACACCAGTACAGCCTCCACGGAAACTGTATGGAGATTCCTCAAAGAACTAAAAGTAGACCTTCCATTGGATCTTTCAATCCCATTACTAGGTATCCACTCAGAAGAAAAAAAAGTCATTTTACCATGAGGACGTCTGCACTCGAATGTTTACAGCAGCTCAGTTCACAACTGCAAAGATGTGGAGACAACCCAAGTACCCTTTGATACATGAATGGATTAACAAGCTGTGGCATATGTGTACCATGGAATACTATTCAGCCATAAAAAGATGGAGATTTTGTATCTTTTATATTAGCTTGGAAAACATTCTCCTAAGGGAAGTATCACAAGAATAGAAAACAAGCATCACATGTACTCAATATGAAGTCGAAACTAGTAGATTAACAACTACAGGCCCACATGAGAGAAAAGCACAAATTCAGAAAGTGGGGAGGGAGTTGGGTGAGTTCCCACCAACCAGTGCAACGCATGGGTTTACGGCACACTTCCCGGGTGAAGGACACAACTCCAACCTGGACTTGACCTTACCAACACAAACAATGTGATCTCATCACACGTACCCTCAGATTAATCTGAAATCTAAAAAAGAAAGAATGTCTTTTTCAGACAGTGAGCCTACTTCTTCCCTCTTACTGCTTTTGCTCCAAAAATAACCTTCAAAGCTCTTTGTGCTTTCTTAAGCATTTTGGCTCCTTCTGAGTTTTGGCCTTTGAAAAGAAAATTCTAAAATGTTTATTTCTTAACGTCTACGTAGGACTGTATAACTGTGTGATGACTGTGTGCTCCTTTCATCTATTAATCATATTCATCCTTGGAGAAACCTGAGCTGCTCAGAGCATTCTATACTCCCAGAAGAATTTCTTCACATAATTATTCTTTTAGAAATCTCTTGCCTTGGAACCACACCTATAGATACTATAAACTTTCAAAACCCTGCTTGACTTAAAGGTAAAAGATGGGTCCAAGTTCTCTTCCTTACTATGAGGTCTATAAGACAAGTTGGTAACTCCCTCCCCCCCAAAAAATGTTCAATATAACTAGCGCAACACAACTAATATCACTAACCAGACCTTTCCCATTGGAGTGAGACTCTGAAGAGCAGTTCATCTTATTGGCTCCTCCACTTCATGAGAGATACCGCAGTAAGGGCGGCCTTCATGGACGTGGTAAGATTTACCTTAAAGCCAGATCTGCTCCTTGGCTCAAGGCAGAGGGTCTTCACACAAAATAAATTGAACTGTCCACTGGTTTGTGAAACTAAGTGGTATTTATAAGCCTTTTCTAGATAATCAATACCTGTACATTTCATAAGAGAACATATTCTGTGGCAGAAAAATTATTTTAAAATGCCTTCTACATT